GAATTTCAGGTTGAAGTGATGTATACAGTGCAAACTGAGTTATTTAATCTCTGATGGACAAACACGATTTTAAAAAAAAATTACAGATTTCTTCAGTCAAAGCTTGTGAAGTCAAAACCTGTACCAATTTGGACTAGGATCCTTCTTACTGAAATATAGCACAGATYCAATAAAATAAAACCTTTTGCCTTGGTGCCTTGGATTAATTTCTAATATGTCTGGAAGTAATTGAACTTCYGATATGTCAAATTAGTTCACCCATCAGGTGCTGTAGTTCCATCTGATCTTATCCATGTTGGGGGCTTCCCTTCTYCCACAGCCAGCTCTGAGAAGCTCCCATTGCTCCATGAGGCAGGGCCTCCTCAAAAAGCTAGATACTGCATATAAAAGATGCATTCACTTCAACAGACAAAAGCAGTCTTGTACTGCTACAAGTGTCTAATAGAAAAGCTCATAATGTGAATACTATGTATATTATCCTTGCTGTACTCTCAGTGATAAGCTAGAAAATGAAGCAGCCAGCAGAGATACAAACAGAATATAAATATCACTTCTGTAAATTAGTGTCAGATGTGCAGGTGTTGCAAACACCCCAGTGACAGGTGTGTAGTTAGTGACTAACAGATTCCTAGTTAGCAGTGTGCTTCATCTGCTCCCTCCAAAGGACTGCTCCTTACAGTGCTGGTTTTAACTCAGGTTGCTCAACAAGACTTTATTTAGCCTAATTGAAAGCATTTCTGAAAGGCCAAGTGATTCATCAGGCTGGCTGCCTCTTTACTGCCCTGCTCTGAAAGGTGCTCTGACAGACAGAGCTTGACTTGATGCACCAACAACTGAGCCAGGACTTGAAGCTGTAAAATAACAAGTTTAGCAGGCTTAGTTGGGATGAGAAGGGACTCTGCTTCAAAGAACAGCAGCTGGGATTGCTCACCTGCCTATGGAAGGGCTTGTTCTGCTCTCGGCTAGTGATCATGCTGATCTAATAGGCTGATGTATATGTCCTAAGTAAAGCAGAGTAGCAGGGTAAGCACAGAAGAGATCTTAAAAGATGCATATTGTGAACCAGAAACAAGTTATACTCATTGTTTGGACTTTTTTTTCCCCCTCTCAATCACATCTTTTTTTTTGTTAAATTATGAAATCTGCAAAAAAATTAGAGGTTAAAAAGTATTGGCCTTGAATTTTGGTAGACCCAAACTGTTTGGAATCAGGTCTCATTTAACAATGAGATCTTTCCATTAGTATGAGACCTTGTATAGATTCCTGAGAGGGCAAAGTGAGAAACAAACATATCAAAGAATAAAAATATTATGATACTMATTATACTACACAGAAAAGTGGGGTTTTTTTAAGGCAGCCATTTGGAAGTTTTTTTTTTCTTTATGCAGATCTTGTCACTACCACTTTCCAAACTGTAATGGTCAATGGTTATCTTTTTCCTAATTTCTCTGGTAAATCCAAATTTGGGCAATGGTCTATGGAATAGTCCAGTGTGATAGTCACATAATTAATAAACTGCAGCAGGAAACAACTGAGATGAATAGGTGTGAAGGAGATGCACTGTTTTTTGGGAACATTAGCAAATAGAAATATAAAATTAGCAGGTCTAGAACCATATAACTTAAAAGGAGTTTTAAATGGTTTTAAATGACAGGATTTTTTAAATATATTTTCTTTTGTGCTTTTAGAGCCTTTGATAGAGGAAAGCTACATTGATTACACTTCCAGATATTTCCTAACCTTAAAAACATARCCATTAGTGATCGATATTGTAAATCAATAATCTACGTCAGTGTAGGGGCAGGTAGGAATGTTTCAGGACAAATCTTCTGAAATCAAGTTTAAAACTCACTTTTCTTTAAAACACTTTCTGCCTTTGCTCTTGCTCCATTAGTTCTTCATTCATATAATTATCCATCCACTTGAATTTTAAAAGAGCTAAGCTACTCCTTAKAAACACTGTAAGTGAAGAAAGAATGAGAGCTGCATTTTTGTTATTGTTTCACTCTGTGATAGGTACTAAATACTGGGCTGATGATAGTTTGCATGTAAACCAAGAGATAGTCTTCCCTACAGTAGTAACACAGGCCAGAAGTCAGTAAATAGATCACTGACTTGATATTCAGGGGTGGTGATATTTGATGGGTTCTTTAAGAGTATCTGAATAGTGAGGCCCCTGAAAATATCTTTCATTGCAACCTCCCCTTCCCCTGCAAAATTACTTGATTTGCTTTCCTTTTCTTGCTTTTTAAAATAATTTAATGGCTACTTACATTTGTTACCAGGCTACTCACACCAGGAATTCAACTAGTTATGCATGCACAGTCAACAAGAGGGGCACCAAGAAGTTAACATTTAGACATGCTAGGTGAAGAAAAATCAGGGAGAATACAGTTCTGTTCTTGAATCTGAAAGGCAGCTGTAGCGTCAAAGATGTAATAATTAGCTAAAGACACTATACTCAAAGGTACAGAATGATACATATAGGAACACAGACACGGTCAGGAAATCCTGGTACTAGGTTTTAAAAACAAAATTTCTGGATGTAAAACAATATCATGATTAATGAACACTTTAATAGGAAAATTATTTTCAAATATTTTATTTAGAGAACTATGAACTATTTTCTAATAATGCCCTTTACATAGTTGCATCTCTAGCAAGCTAATTGAGTGAGAGCAAAACAATATAGCATTAAATGAACTTTACATCAAAAACTATTGGTTTACCTACAAAAGTAAGTCAAACACAAATAATAAAGAGAACATTACATAAATATTTACCCTGTCAAATAGAAATTCAATGTCAGAATTTGGCCTCTAGGGTTGATTTGTGAGAGTTGGAAAATACAGTATGCRATCAGTGTAGAGCACTACAGCTCTCCATTGCTGTCTAAAAAGTTTTAGTACAATGTAAACAGAGCATTTCTAATGATACCTTCTGAAAAACAGATCATAAGTCATTGAGCTGGGAGAGGGAAAGCTATGCTAGTTTTCTACGTTTGGCAGCCGCCAGCTTCTTACAGGCTGCCGTATATACGTTTAATTACATCAGCCTCTTCCTTGTCCAGGATGCCCTTGTCCACATAAGCATCAGCTTGTTGATCAATGAAATCTCTCAGCTTTGACAGATCATAGTCTGAAAAACAGGAATTCATTTACACAGTGAGTAATCACCATTATACTGCTTCGCCTAAGAAACAACGTCACTGTAAAGTTTATCCAACAAATGCACTTTGGAGAACATGAAGAGAATTTACTAAAAYTGCAACTTGCTAAAACAATAAAAAGTAAAATCCTGAAAAAAATGTCTTTTTAGCTATGATGGTGGTTTGGATAAAATTATCTTGATATAGAACTCTGAGGCAAATGTCACTTCTGGTCTGTTATTGGCATTACTTAGGGTATCTTAGCCGTTTTGTCTCTCTATCCTATYTGCATGATAGGTACTAATAACACTTAACAACTTAATGAGGCTGTGAGATTTCATTCATGATGGTAAAACAACTTCCTCCAGTGAAAGATATTGGGGAAGGAAAATAGCTATTTTCTTTCGCCAAAGGTGTGGCTATAATGCAACTTGGGGCCACACAGTATTGTGCAAAGGACTCTGGTTTGAAAATCGTGTGACACGATCATAGATGTAGTCCATGAATCCAATCACTGTGTACTCAGAAAGAATACTAAGGTTAGAAAATTCCTACATCTGTAAAGGTAGCAGACTTTCAATAGTGTCTTCTTTTTGAGATATTCCACACAGATTTCCAAAGCACCTGCCAGATTACATAGAACTGCCAAAGCCAATTTTTAGCTGTCTTTATGATCCCTTGCCTGGGACCTCACAAAGCTACCTTCATCTTCCAAAATAAAGAACAAAAGCCCTTTGCAATGGTCTCTTTTTTTTTGTGAGACACCTTATCTACAGTGAGKGGACTGCGTATGAGTTGCCCAATTCTACACTACGCTAAAATTTCTATAGTGAGAAAAATATCCTTAGAGGTCAGATCTACTAGGCCAACTACTGTGAACTCCCAGAACACTGGAAGAGTTAGTTGCAGATCTGTCTTACCTCACTGTTTTACCTCTGATATACCTCACTGCAGTAACTGAAGAATCAGTACCTCAAAAAAAAAAAGTGGCCAATTCTTCACTGCAGTAAAAAATCCAAAAGAGGAAAAGATTGGCCATTTTAATATATCAGTTACTCTGAATCATTTTTCCATTAGCTCCCAAGTGCTAGCTGGAAGTGGAAAAGTGACAGATGATACAAAGCATTCCAACTTGGATAAACTTACCCTGACTGTACTTCCTTTATCATTATCCTAAGATAATGAAGTTAGCATTCTACAAAAATAGAACGTATGGAAAAATCACAATGAAGATAAAGTATCAAAAGAGCAAGAACTGTATTCTAATTTTTTTTGTAACTTACACACACCTGAAGACTCATTTACATTGCCAAAGGACAGTCAAGATATTTAGTGAAAATTAAAACCACACTATACAGAAAGCCATGCATTAAGCACTAACACAGCAGATCCATTTTCAGAAATTAATATCAGTACATCTTATTGCAYTCACAGGCAGATAAAATGCCACTCATCTCCAGTCACAGCTATTTTCAGGCTGTAGTAATGCTGAGGAAAGGTTACTATGAGGAGGAGCAAGGGGTTACCCAGTGTGTGTTAAATGAAGAAATAATCGCCTGTGTCCRAAATCTAATTACTGAAATAAGTACAGTGATAAACAGAAATATTTACTGGAACAGGCAGGAAAACACTGCAGCAAATATGTAAATCTGCTGCCAACTGCAGTTGCTGCCATGGGTTGCTTGGAAAATATTTTAAAATGGGATAATTAACAGTAGGATTGAAAAGGAAGGAAGGAAGGAAAAGAGAAAGAAAAAGGAGAGAAAAAAGTCCTTCCTGATACTAAATTTCTATATAGAAAAATCAAAYGTAGATGTGCATTCATCTCTGAAATACAATTCCTACACACTTCAACTCACAGCGGGGGTGGCTAGATTATGTAAGGCTAATCTCATCACTTCTGCTTGGCTGCTGCAAGAGGGATCCCTCTTGTCAGGCTCCAGTCAGACCCTGGGGATGGATTCCCTTGGCTAAGAACCTTTCACTTACAGACAGGGTGACAACAGAAGCCCCAGCAATCGCAGGGGTAAGATAGAGARGGATGGTTTTATATAAGATCTTGGGGGCAAGCATGATATGGACAAATAAAAGCCTGTGAAAAATAAGGTGTAAATCCTGTTTCTGTTAGAAGACTCCTTCCAGCTCTCACATGGTCCTGCCTCCCAGAAACAGCCTAGATGCAGCAGACCAGCTGGTGAACAAACTCTGCCCTGCTTGGGTCACTGTTCTTTTTGGGCTGAAATTCAATACAAACATATGCCACTAGCAYTGTGATGTATCTTGACTATTTAACTTGTAGTTATGAAACAAGAAATCATTGTTACTTGTGATGGCCTGTGCATTGCTATCAGGATGTATGCAGCCCTTCCGCATACCAGACATTATAAAAAGGTTTATTATATGACTCACAGCACAATGCAATTTAAAGAATGCTCTGCAATGTATATAGTGCCCACACAATGCAAGGCTTCATACCTTCTTTGTTACCTTGTTTGTTGTGTTTTTTCAGCCATTCTATATTCTTCCTGATTGCTTCCAAATATGCCTCAGCCTTCCCTGGAGAAAAGGATGAGAGAGAAAAAAGCACTTACCATCAATGATTGATGCAGTTTGCTTAACTCAGTGAAGATGCTTACAGTGGAAGACAGATCAAAACTATTCTTAGTTTCTGTTTTAAAGCCAAGTCCTGTCAACCTTAGTCAGGCAAAATTCCCACAGATGGCTAGCAGGTTTTGTCTGTAAAAGATTAGTCATCTCTGCCACAAACTTAGAATCATGGCATTTTTTTGATCTCTGTGCATGGCTTTCAGTGGCATCCACAGATACCACAAACATGGATTGTGGGCAACTTTCCGATCACCGTAACTGTTCACCAAAGACAAAGCTGTTAAGACAGCAGGAAATGACTTAGAGGAGACTGGGAGCTTTGAGTACCAACTCACACACAAAATGTCAGAAATCTCTTCCAGTCAGTGCTACTAACAACAGAGGGCAAATTTAAGCTGGCAATATTTTGGAAATATAGGATGAAATACAACTACTTACACTTACTAAGAAAAAGAAGGCATTAAAATTACCATGATAATTCATTGTTACTGCTTGTTATAGCTGAAATTTTAAAGTGATGGCTATTTTTGGACTAAAAAGCACACAGGACAGAATTAGTTCAAGGAATTACCTAATAAGGCCCCTAAGGAAATATTCTAGCTAATGGATTTTGAATTCTTAAGTTGGCTGGGGCTTTATTGATGTAATGTTCTTACATTTCTCAGGGAAAACAAGAGTACAATTAGCATGTGGAAGGCGACCACTGCCAGCTATGAGTGTCTGATTCCATTAGTAAGTAGATTCGGTATTAGAAATTTTTGAGCTGACAGTGCAGAGTTAGCTTTATTGTAAGACATTCTTTGAAAAAGCAAAGGACATTGCATGAAGAGACAAAGAACTAAATGCAAATTTAACTTAAATCTCTTAAAAGCTATTGAGCTGAACTTTTTTTCCACAGTCAAATCTTCAACAGGCATGGGAAATGTGTTATCTATTACTCTTCACAGTTACTGAGATAATTTTATCCTACTATGAAATTAAGACAGCTGTCTTAAGCTGTTTCACTATCTATACTCAAATAGTCACTGCTGAAAAAAAAGGCTTCACAATGCAAATTGCTTCACTTTGCAGAGAGATGGTTCAGTACCTTTCAGTATCAGCTTGCTTTAAACACAAACTAGAGAAATCAAGGGACCCATTCAGAATACAGAATATCTTGATGATCTGATTTCATGGAATATACACAAATGCAAAGCAAAATAACTCTGTATTAGTCTATTAAAATCCACTTAATATGGTTGTCAAAAGAGACAGGAATTCTGTGAAGGATTATACTGTTACTCAGCACAGGGTGTGGTTTCATACATGTAAAAGCAAACAATTAAGTTCACTTCTGAATCAGGCTCTTGTGTGCTGACTCACAGTAACTATAAACTAAACACAATTATACTAATACAACAGAAAAAAATCAAAGCAGAAGAGTCAAATCACTCAGAAGATATGCACATAGCAAAAAAAACCCAGCTATTTTGTACCTATGGGCTCTTCATTGTCCCCTGCTGCATTTTGTTCTTCATTTTTTGTGGAATCCTTTGAGATTTCATACTCTTTTTCCATTTTAGCTGCTTCTTCCTTTGTACTGTCTGCTTCTTCACTGCTCTTATCTAAAGAAATTGCAGTAAGAGCAATTTTGTATCACATGCATCCAAAACATATCTAAAACATATCAAGTATGTTCTTTAGAATGTAAAATGTTCCAACTGAGTCGAGAAGAAACTCCTTGGATCACATCTCAAACTGATTCCTAAAACTCATCTCCACTCTGGACATTTGAAAGAAGGAATACCTTTTTCCTCTCTCACAAATAGTTGTTGAATTCTGGCAACTAAAATACAACAGTATGTAGATAATGAAGATCTGTTACTTTTGGCAGAAAAGATGATAGGAAACTGGCCATTCATTAGGTCCAAAGTTGGCAAAGAACAAGGTTCTTCTACTTAAGTTGCATAATGCATACACTTTTAAGTCTTAATGCATAACACAATTAAGTAAAACATCCTCTCTTTCTGTATTAAGCATCTAAGATACATCTACAGCTCCCTGAGGGATGAGACCCAGTCTGACACCTAATACAATTAACCTGCTTTTACCTGAATAGGTTAAATGATGTTTTATTAAACAGGGATTTCTAAGAGAAACACAGAAAAAGTACCTGCTGGTTGCTTTGTTTTAGTTCTAGTGGAAGGGTCCTTAAGCTTCTTCTTTGTCTGCTCTGCTATCATTGCATCTAAGTTTTCTAGAAATTAAGAAAAAATAAAACCAAACATCAGTTATTCTTTAATATAAATGATACAGACTACATTAACCACAATATAACTTTGACAGGTAGAACTCTGAGAGAAGCATCTTCATCTTTGTCTCTGAAGAAATGACATAGAGCTAACTGGTTACCCAATAAAGGAAAAAGTAACTAAAGGAAACTTTTATCAATTTTAAGTAAGAAAAATACTAATCATAATATTAGCAGTAACAAACAGGGCTAATAAGCATAAAGATAGCAAATATGTTTACGTGTACTCCAGTTATTTAAATCACAGAAAAATACATCACTATCTGTAGCAAGTTGTTCTYCAGATAAAGTACTTAATAGAAGACTCACAAATGCAGATCATCGTATAATCTGGTGTATGTTTTTCACTTGTATTATTGATAAGCTGTAGAATTTGATTTCTCTTTTGAGCTTTTTTAAGGTTCAGTTAAACACTGAAGCAAAATTCAACAGACAAATGTCATCTCCTTGGCTTGATGGTTTTGCAAGACTTGATTTTGAATTGTTCATCTTCCCTTTACATAAACAGCTAAAGTACTCTATCAGGCTTAGAAATTGTGGAAGAATAGATACTATGGGACTGGTAAATATTTTATATCATGGGTTTTATGTGTGAGGCCAACATTTTATCCGTCAGCTAGAAGCATTTTTTTTTTTTATGCCAAAAATACTTAGCATTGAAACTACAAGATTATCCTTCAAACAAACACATTTCTCTCCACAGAAGATTACTATAAGCAATTCTACCTACCATCTGATGAGAAATAACATAATCCTGAGTCATCTATATTTTGTTATTTACATAAAACTAAAATGTAAGCAGTTTTTGCTGGCAGTCTGTCTGATTGCAACCTGTCATTTTTACTTCACATTGTTTTTTTCCTGTGAAAACTATTTTCACTTGCAATATTTCTTTTTAATATAATACTGAGACCTTGTCGTATGCTCTAAATTAAACAAGGTTGGCCTTGGTTGCAAGCTGGAGCAGATTACTACAGAAGAAAAAACCTTAAGTTACTATTATAGTGGTGCTACTGATGCTCCACTAATCACTTGATCCCAAGCTTACCGAAATGAACATAAACATTCCTTTCAGCTGCACTTCACATACTATTTTTTATCTAGAATAAGTACCATACTATTATCAGCAGAAGTGTAACGATTTCTCTGTCACAAGAGGCATGGTTTTTAGGATAAGATATGCAGCTAACTTTGTGCTTCATTAAAATAATCTTAATGAAAACAGGCTATTAATCTGCTACTCACCATGTAAATATATTCACCTAAAAGTCCTTTGTAATTTCAAATGAATGTATTATTCTACTTTACTTTCTAATTCATGCAGAAGCAGAAATGTCCCCACTGATTTTTGGTCTCAGTCCAGCAAAATCTTTTAAATTAGGTTTAATTTTCAATGTAAAATTATTTTTATTCAAGGAAGAGTATTTAAATATTTATACCCACACACACGTGCATTTATTGTTATGTGCCTTTCATGTTCCATCCCAAAGCRGCTACTGTTGGGCACTGGGACACACAACAAAGAACCTTCCACAAGTAAAGACAGAGAAGAGTCCTTAACAGAACTGACCTGTAACCCACTTATACATTTTTAGATTTTAATGCCTTCCAAGTGCCTTCCAAGTAACAGTATTTTCAATATATGTTAATAGATATGTTGATACAGGTATTGGAGAGTTGTACATGCATCCAAATATAGAAAGTGCCTCAGAAGGCATTGGGATTTATGCTCCTGTATCATTCAGTTACTTCTGCAAATCACTTCAGAAGTTTTACAGCTTTAAGTGTTTCAATTAGTCTAACAATCTCATTTACTTCAATGTAAGAGTAATAATATATATTATTACTTGTCAAATATGTCAACATGGTAAGATGCAGTTTTCCAACCAAACATGTGAAAACAGCTGCCTCTCTGTAAGAACTACAACACAGCAACATTGATCACTAATGATCCAAGGCCAAATTAAATATGATAGTGACTATATCTCATTTTTAAAGTTTTAGTCCATCAGTAAAGATGCAAACAAGTTTATATGGAAGCTTCCTATAAACCACACTTTATAAGGGCTGCATTTTACAGGACAAATACTGAAGCTACACTGCTGGCCATATAGCACAACAAAATGAATCTCAAAGTTTCACAAGCAGCTCTATTTTCTATGTGACAGAGAAGAGGTAGCTACGCAGACCTGTTCATGTTTATGAGGATCATATGGTCTTCCTTCAATAAAAAATAGGAGAGAATTTACCACAGAATCCCAGTTCTCCCTAAGTTAAATTTTTTGTATTCCCCCTGGCTTTTTCTTCTCCAGAATTAACGCCTGTAACAGCTGGTATTGTCGGTACTTGTCCTGTGTGACTAGGCCATGGCTGAACAATGTTTGCACTGAGTTACACTAATGGAGTGAGTCATCTTCAGAACTGAAATGTGCCTGGCCAGCAGCTAAGCAACCAAATGTCCTATCTGGAGGTCTAACAAGAGCCAATTACTTTTCCGATACCGTTTCCCTAGCAACATAATTTTTTACAGAGTTAGAGTTCAGAAAGGTAATGACCCTTTTGCAGAGCTGGCCACTTATTTGAAATAGCACTAATTAAAACAACAGAACTGCATCTACTGAGATAATGGAAATGACCTATGATGGTAAATTAGGCCATGCCCCTGGCTGTTGGTTTCCGAGGAGCAGAACAATCTAATCATCAGAACCAGACACCAGGAGTCAAAAGATCTGGTTTCTGCGTTACCTCACTTTCTAACTTGCTCTTTGATCTTGAGTGATTCACTGAAGCTTTCATTTTTCAAAAGGACTCTTATTTTGGGGATGCATTTGGGTAGGCAGGTATCACTGGCCCAGTTTCTACAGGCATTACACACCATATGAGCCATTTAACTGCATCTGAAAATACAAATATCCAACTTTTGAAAATCAAAACTAAATTTTTTTCAAATTAGGCACCCAAAAATACGAGTCACATATAAGCAGAAGTCTTATCTTTGTTCTATGAGAATACACCATGATAACACCCTTAAAATCCATGGAAAAAAAGATATGTGAAAAAATATTACAAATTAAATGACTTTGTTCTTATCAGAGGGACAGCAACTAATCTACAATCCTAGTATTTAATTGAATTAATAATAGACGCCTGAAATGGCTCCTTCCCTACAACTATACAGGTTCATGGTGATTTCTGGCTCCTGTTAAATTTACTGGAAAGGTTTCTTTTTTTATCTGTGTAATTGTCTTCTATCAAGAGGCAGTTTCACATTCTATCCTTGTCAAACTGACTGAAGCTGAGAATTCACATCACTAAACAACACCTCAGCAGAGACCTGCTTTGCCTGGCTGTTCTCATACAGCATGGAAAGCCTGGGTTTATTAAAGCAGAAATAGGGATGCTCATGGTGCCAGAAATCAATCCTAATGACAGCTAAAAAAATGAATTTATATSGCTGCTTGTGTGAGATGTACAAATCCCAAATATTAGAGAAGCACCATTCACGCAGGGCTCATCTTCTCGCTTCACTGGATGAACCTACATTTTCAATATTTTGATAGCATGTATTTCATCAGCATGATGGCTTAGAACCGAGGCAGCGCCCACCCGCCTCTACTTCAGGAGTAGGAGGGAGCCCAGTTTCGAAAGCTCAGTGACACCTGCTTCACACCACACCCACGTCATCATCTCAAATCACAGGTTATGACAGCAGTGCTCAGCCGTCAACATGGAGTTACTGAAATCAAACTTTTTTTATGCAGACATTTTCYCATTATAGTGAGAAAATTAAAAAAGCCCAAATCACCTTTCTTTGAAACAAAACACTTTTTTTCAAAAACAAAATACTTTTGTTTCAAAAACAAACTGTAAGGAGACAGATATGTCCCACAATGTACGCAGCTGGGAAAGCACGGAGAAGGAAGTGAAGGGAAATGGACAAGGCAGAACATTTACAAGAAATAGCTGCAAATTCGAAGGGTAAAGAGTGATAAAGAAATGAACTGCAATACTTTTTTTTATTTAGAAGCTTCCACATTTGATATGATAGTTATGGAATTGTCGGGTGTGTGGGGGGGACAGGATTAGAAATACTAAAACTAGTGAATATCCCCCTGAAAGGTAGCTGAGAAAATTTAGATTCCATAGARAATCTAGGCTCTCACACAAGCCAGCGGCTTTGGATGAGAGGCTGGTATCTCCCTTTATCTGTGATGTCCACATAAACTTATCTTAGTTGGCACTTATGTTTTCGTTTTCTTTTAAACTGTGGAGTTAGCTGTCAGACTTTTCATACCATAATTATATGTATTTTTTTTCTATGCAGCAAAGGCAAAAAAAGGGATAATTGGAAGAGTGGAGGCAGGCAAGTATTCATGTGTTGGTGCAAAGACAAGTAGCACAACACAAACTGACTGTGACAGATGGGTTAGACACAGATATATACAGAAAAGCTATAAAGCTGGTGGGGCTGGGGTCAACATATTYCCTATATTCCTATCTCATTTGACACCTTTGCACACTCTTTGCCCACATATCCTTTAACTCATCTCCATTCAAATTCATCTTGGTTTCAAATATTCACATCATGCCATTTTGCTGTTCCTCAGTATTTGGTCCATTGCTTCTAACCAAGGTGCCTCAGATTTCTACTCTTCGGATACGCGAGAGCCCTTAATCTCCCCAAGAACAATACAAGGTATTGGCACCTTGACTTTTAGTTCATAACTACTCTCTATGGTAACTGCATGCATCAGACATGATACCATCAGTCATGATAAAGTAACACTGAGCAAGAAAAAACAAGGGAAATTCAGAGAAGGAAAAATGATTAAAAGATTAATACTTACATGGAAAACTCACAACAATAAGAAAGAGCCATTTGAAAAAAATTATAAAGGAAGAAAGAAAAGATATTATGAATGGCTTCCTGTAGGAAATACTGTCTGCACATTTCATCTTCCAAGCCTAAATGTTAGAAAGAACAAAAGACCCACGCAACAGTGACCATTACCAACTGGCAGCTGCTGGCACTGGCCTGTGCTGGGGAAATTGCAGAGCTCCCCTACAGACGGTACCCATTAAGAACGCCAGGGACAGAGCAGCTATTCCCTAGCCTGAGGGCCAGGCCCTGTTRAAATAAGCTAACAGACTTTCAGGAGATTAGCCTGGCATTTTCCCCACATATGTGAAGCTCTGGCTTCACCCTAATTCCACCATCCAAAGATCTGATGAATATCAAAGATCTGGTGAATATCAATGAATTCTGTCTCTTCCGATTTCCCTAGATTTTTGTTTTTTTTTTTTTTTTTTTTGAGGTGGGTTTAATGTTGTCTTTGATTCAGATTGGGGTAAAACAGTACCAGAATAGTAACTAGACAGTGGCTCTCACCAATAAACCATCTCACTATCACTAGTGTGTCCCATAGTTTGAAGTCCTCTTTTCAACTGTTCATGAAGAACAAATGACAGGGCAGTAGAAGAAGTAGAGACATCTGTTCACATCCATTTCCAACCAACGCAGTCTCCTACTCAGCTGTGGGGGACTGTGCGGCTGCTGATAGTGAGTCAGAGCCAAAGGTAGGCAGTGTGAGAGGTGGCTTTAGTCTGGTCCAAGGAAGGACACGGCTATGACTCAAACACTGCGTACTGAGGAGCTGAAGCAATTTCTCTGTTCTCTCTCCTAATTAAATGATGTTTTACTCCCAAACCAGTCTGCTGTTGGCTGCATGTCGTACACACTATCTATGGCTACAGGGAGCTAATTACTGCTTCCAAGAGGCTAAGAGGAGCATCCCCAACAGAGACAACAAATCCATGGAAKGCTTGAACTTACTTTTCTTCCTGCTCCTTTGCCTCCTTCTTTTCTCTGTGTTGTTAAATTGTGGAAGATATAGAAGCCCTGATTTTAGAAACTGCAGACAAAATGAACAACCTCAGCTATCAGATGTGATACAAYGTACATTATACATGCAGAATCCAGATGTAAGCCTCTCTATGAAATAGAGAAATAACTCTGCTGACCAACTGCAAATATTTTGCCAGCTGCACTAACCAATGAATAAGAATCCAACACAAGAATTCAATATGTGCATTACTAATTTATAACTCTGGGATAACAATTCACTGCATATATTTGCTACAAACCTGCTCTTCCAAAACGTGTAAAGCAGGTAGAATATATTCACAGTATTGTATAAAATGAAATCTTACACACCCAGCAGCACCTCTTAAATTTGCCTGTTGCCTCTGAAAGCTCCATTTATCGTATACTCCACTAGTCTGTAATTACAAATATTTCCTAGAATAGTTCTAAAATTCACTCACTTTTTTTTTTAATGTGGGAGATAATCCACAATTGTGCCTGAACAAACTGTCAGAAACATTTTTTCTGCTTCTAAATCAACAACACTGTTAATACGAATGTATTTAAAAAACTATAATTCTCTTTACCCATTTACTATCAATGTAGCTTTTACTATAAATGAGAGGACTAATATGCTTTCATTTTACAAGTAACCAAAAGAAACTGACATAGGCAGGAAAGCCAACTCACCACACAAAAACCGCTGTCTGTGCAGTGTAGGTGAGGAATTTTCTTAATCTGGCTATTATAGATATATATCTCAGAGACAAGCTATCAAGTAAGGCCCACCATAAGGCCACTCAGCAGATACAGAAGGAAAATAAAGTGTGACACTAGTAACTAACCAATATACAGTATACAAACAGTGTAAATAACTACACAATGAATTTCTTATTCTACCCTGTTGAAATCAAAGTGAGTTCTACTGTGCTTGGAATAGCACTTCCTTTTCCCTCAAAGCACTCAGCATCGTGAAGGATATATCCTATTTCAGTTCTGTACGGGAAATTCAGTACCAGAGATTTGTGCCACAGAAACTCATCTTTGAAGTATGAATGCAATGAACACTGAAATCATTTATGCTGAATCGGTTTTAGCTTCTCTGAAAGCTTCTGGCTGCTTTCAGCTGGTCATTAGGTGGAGAGATTCCAACTCTTCTACTGCTCTACTACTACATCCCTGCCAATGGCAACAAGTGTTTCAGGAACTGTGCTCACTCCTTCCTAACCTGTTCAGCGTTCAGAACCTGTTCCCCTACCAGGCTGAGACAAGCAAGAAGAGTTCAGTTGTTGTGGCACCATTTGCTCACCGGACCACAAGCCCACAAGTGGGTAAGAAGACATCACACCTAAAAGTTTTTGAGGAAGCTGGAAATATTCTGTGGGGTTTTCATTTTTCTTCATTTTCTTCTCCCCCCTCTTTCCTCCCTGAAGAATTTGCTCATAATAGATCAAAATATAGCATCCATACGTACGAAAGTAAAGAGTGATAGATGATATTGGCATCCTGCCACCAGTAGGGCAATTATCAAGCATGATGTATTTTGGCTGAATGCCCATTTTATACCGGTTTGCTCCAGCCTCTCTTTCATGCTTCCACAGCTATACTTTTTGAAATTGTACTGTCAAAGTTAGGCAGGATTTCCTCTGTTTTATGTATATGCATACATCATACCATTCTACTTGGGCTCTGCGTTACAGATTATTTTTACCATATGGAAGACTTTATGTATTTAATATGTGCTAAATAATATTGACTGTGCATTAAATCACAAACTTTTCCTTGCATGCATGTATGTGTATACATGTATGTTTCTTGCACCACAGTGGCTAGATCCTTTATAACTTAGAGTTAAACCTAATAACATCATTCACTGCAGCAGCAAGATATTTTCCTCTAGAGCAGGATTCAGGGATGATGCTGACATAATGCTGTGGTTTCCAAATCCCAGACCAGCTGTTACCAGTGTATGCATTCAAATTCACTTCTGCATCCATGTGAAAGGAACAAAAGCTTATGACTTGATTCAATAAATTATTTATTATTTTAAATATATAATTCAGAGACATAGCTTCCACATTGCTTCAGCCATAAAGCGAGGAAAAGCAATTTATGCCATTTCCTGCTGAAATACTAATCCTATAWCTGCAATGAATGAATATAATACAGGGTGCATCAGCACCCTAACCTAAACTGCATCCAGCAACACCGGACCTATTCAACAATTTCTGGATATATTATGCTGTAGCTTTTAGTTGGAGTAAGGGTGCCAATAAAACTGCTTTTATTCTTAGAGATACTACAAGAAGCTGATATTCTTCTGTGCTTGCTACCCTTGAACATTTGAGAATCTTAGCTCATAAATGAAGGTCAACTTTAAAGTAATTTCTCAACAGCAATGCTAAGCAAAGAATACCACAGATGCAATCTGAGACCTGTGAGAAAGCTTTTCCCACTACAGTAAGATGCTTTGATGCAGTACAAAACCCATCTCCCCATAAATCATGGGTTTGCAAGGCACAGGCTGGCTACATCACTTGATAGTCTTATTTTAAATCCAGACCAAATCAAACCTTCAAAATTCTTAACCTAATCCCCATTCTCTGTACTATGTCATCCTAGCAATTTGTTTCCAGGGTTACAGTATTTATTTACTCAACGTAAAGCCAATGTGAACAAATGTCTTAAATTATAGTAGGCAAAAACGAATCCCTAGCGCAATTCCATTGTTCTGAGTTCTGACATTATTGCATCAGGGAAGAATTTAGCCTGGTACATTTTGGCACAACAGCATCAGTGAGGACAGGATCTGCTCAAGCCATATTATCTTCACTTGTACACTTCATTGCACACTGAAAGCACAGAGCCTGAAACCAACTGCTTTGTTATACATGCTCTGCCTTAGATGGGCAGCCAGGGAAGTAAAGCTCTTACCTGCTGCATAACTTGTTCAAGTTGCCCTGATGTAAACAAAAACTTAACAGGCTAGCTCAGATGAGAAATAATACAGAAAAATAAAAGTGCTGTGGAGAGCTTACATAGATGAGCTCTCCTTCTGTAGCTCGAGGTTATGAACAGTTAATATCAGAGTTYGTAAAAGTCAGAAGGAGAAAAGTATGGGAGAAAACAAACCAAATCCAGACTTTTCCAAAATATGTCTTCAGAAAATTTTAGTAAATTATAATAATGAAGTCTGAACAGCCACAGACTCCAAAATGGATCTAGGAAAGGCATCTTCAAAGGCTACTCCTGCACCAGGATTTAAAACTCTCCACGCATGGTGTGTTACTTGGTAGAAGTCCATGGAATTACGACCTGTCTATACCAGCTATGTACAGACGACAGAATAAAGATGCTGAAGCGTGGGATTGCTTTTCAAAGATATAGATGTCTGATCTACCCAAATATTATCGGAATAAAGTGCTAATTCTTCTCCGATATAATGCCACAAAAACCAATTGAATGTTAAATGTTAATTCAAAGCTTCTTTTTTTAATGACTGGTAGCTTATCATAATGATTTTGAACTACATATTTCCAAGTAATGAATGAAACATTTATCAGGTATGGGTTTTAAAGTATGTTGTATTGTATTATTCTACCTTTTTCATCTGTGGAACTCATTTAATTTGAATAAAGCTTGAATTAACAGTTCTGAAACAGGACTTGTAAGAGCAAGAAAGACAACGTAATTATCACCGTTGGTTCAGTAACAACATAGGATAAGTAACACTCGCACTTAAATTATGCACTCTCACCCAAATAGGAAACTCCTTCTTCTGGTGTGATTGTTCCATATTTAACCATCATCTTCACAAAATCAATCAAGGTTTTCATGATGGTTATCAGGGTCTCCTTTTCTTTTGCCTCTGTCTCTGTGTAAGGGGACAAAACAAAAGTAACCAAATACTTCAGCCAACTGAGAGACCTAATTCTGCAAACACTTTGCACAAATTTCTTGCATAAAAAAATGAACTAATTATTAAAAAGAGAGTCGGCGCTAGATGAGTGAAGAGTGACATTTTCCCCCTTAAAATGTTCCTGCAAAGTAGGGGTAGAAAAGGGCCCAGTCTATTTGGAGAGCTGCTGAACAGGTTTTTGAACCAGCAATTTAACAAGCAGCTGTAAGATGCAGTTGAATTGTTTCCCATTTTGATACAAGCTGGCAGGTAAACAGCACAAAGGCAGGAGACAAGGCAGAGAGATGTGCAGCTAATAGGGCTCAATTCCATTTGCTTTATAACCTATGGAACCCAACACGCTCTTCTGCTTTATGAGCTGAAAAAAAAAAAAAAAACCCAGCATGTGAAGCTACCAAGAAAAAAAAATGAAAAGAACAAGAAGAAAAATATGGGCTTTCCAGGCTGCATTTGATATAGGATGTGCTCAGGTTTCTCATTCTAACTCTCCATTCCAGTGTTTATGGGAACACTTTTGAGGAAAAATTTGAGGAAAAACTAAGGCTCCATCAGGACAAGGTCTCTGCAAAATAAGTTGTTGCTGACTGCACAGTTTATYCTGCAGGAAGGGAGCAGGAGATTGTATGCTGGCTGCAGAGAGCGAGTGCAAGACTGGGTGTGCTGACAAAAGCATTGTGGCAAGGTGCCATAGTCTTGCTTCTAAGAGCTGGAAGGCAATAACGTCTAGCACCGGAATAGAAAGAGACGGGCACGGCTTTCACTGCAATAAACAGCAAACCTGTGGTTTGTGAAAACACTGGGAGACTCGTGCTCATTTACTGGTAGTATCACTGTGAGGATTCTACTCGTATCTCTGTTGGCTGAGAAGACAAGGATATTACTGGAAAGATCTCTGCAGAAAACAGTTTGCTAGTCTTTCATCATGCCTTTACAGGAAGGAAAAAAAAATCAGGACTCCTGAATCATATAGCCCCAAATGGGAAGGACTTCATAGTTCAGGGAGTTTGCAGTTTCAATAATGGTTGCTCCCTCCTTTTGCCATAGTCCCTGACAGAATGAGTTTCTGTTCTGCATCTTAACATTTGTGAAGCACAGGAAGGGGAAATGGGGAAGCTGTTGGGTGGGGAAGGGAAAGGAGAGGGAGAAAGTGGTGAGAATCTTTGTTTTCTATTTCTTTTCCTAAATACTTCTGTAAACATATGATGAACTCACCTGAATTAAGACTTTTTAACAGGGCATAAAAGTTTGGGAAATACTGGAGGTCTTCAAAATTATCTTCAGAAGGCAGCTCATTTCTTCTTTCCAAGGTATTAGATGATGGCCAGGTGTTATCCAATGTATCATCAATTTCTCCATTAATGAAACTATCTTGATCAGCTTTGCTTGGTGTCTCCACAAAAGACATTACAAAATTCTATGAGCACATTTCTATTAGTCACATAGCTAAAGCAATATTACTTAAAATGAATAATATTATAATCTCCTACCAACATCGTCCTAATTAAGATGTGAATAATAGTTATTTCCTCAAAGTTATTTAAATTTGGGATCCAATCCAAGCTTTAAAGAAAATTGTTTTTCATCTATCGGATAGAATTTCTTTACTAACTTCTTCAGTTTCCATACTGGAATAATAATTCCCTAAAGCAAAGCAGTCTATTAGTCCACACRAACCATTTGGCAAGTGAGTCAAAATGATTAGCTAAAAAATATTACCATTTTCTCCTGTTGCTTYTCTTTTGTATCACTGTCTGCTCTGCTTGGAGGATAATCAAAATCTTCAGGCTCCTTCTCACGATCTTTCGCTTCATTTGCGATTAACTGCTGTAAAACCTCTGCCACCTCATCTTCTAGGGTGTAGGCCTGACTTTCTGTGATCTGTTAAAATACGTGTTTAAATACTTAGTATTTTTTACAGAATATTTAGTTTTTAGATTTAACGTCAATATGAAACCTGAGCTTTCTAAACAGGTTGTTTCAAACCYGTTTGCTTCAAAGCTGAACACAGTATAATTAGTTTTTTGTTTTTTACTAGTTTGTTGTTGTGTGTATGTATATAAACATACACACCACACACGTGTGTATATATACGTATGTGTATGTATACATATATGTGCATGTGTGTATATGTGTATCTCTACACACAGACATATAGTCTCTGATAGGAAAATATAACTGTGCAGTGCTTAACGTTCCAACTGACACATATAAACACATACAAGCACATATATATATGTTCTGCAATGGGTAAATATCTATGTACAATTGAATAACTACATCAGAATGCAGCACATAAACAGAAAACACAGTTTTCCACGACATCATTTTTTTTTTTAAATTTACTTCATAACAGTTGCCACTTGAATGAGAACTCTACCATGTGGCTCTTTCACACATATCTCCCTTTGCAATCACTTAGAAGATCTAGTGTAAAAAGTACAAGGCTAGCAGACTGAAACGTAAGGATTGTAAGGATGAATGTAAGGATTCCACACTGTTGTGACTAGAACTACTGAGACATTCAGATGCAAGAGCCAAACCCAGGCTTGTTATAAATCAGTAACAATGAGAAATGAGTGTTCAGCTAACCAGTATTGTTACACGTCCACTGATGACAGTAACTAACACGTGGACAGAAATGATCTCAGACTGTTCTCTATGAACATCCAAAAATAACTGACAAACTAAACCAATGAAAACCAAAAGACCAATTACATGAAAAATGAGGGCAAATGCATGGGAGGTGTACACTCAGTGAATGTTTTCTTTACATCAGAAACATTCTGCAATTTGACATWTTTTGTTGCAAAGCCACCAGGGAATAGCAGTGCTGTTGCAGGACAAAACTAATGTGCAGTGGCACAAAAGAGTAGAGAGACTTGCCTTGAGCCGAATCACATTCTGCCCCACTCAAGCCTGCATCATTGGCTGTTCACTTTCATGAACACCATGTTTTTAAATAGAGCATTAAGCCAGCTCACAAAGCAGTTAAGTAAACTACTAGCAGGATACTTACTAGTCCCAGATTTAGAAGTTTTGAAACGATCTTGTCAAACACTCCTCTATCGTTTTCCTCATAAATTCTTGTAGCAATTTTTTGGACAATGTCTTCAGCAGTCAAAGGGGTGCCATCTAACTGATGGAGGCCATCCGGATCATCTAAAACAATTACAGTTTAACTGTGTGCTGACTGTCCTATTTCATTTGGATTAGACATCTTGTAAAAAATATTTGTCCAAATCTCTTCCCCTTCAGAACAAAGTCCCACTTTTTCCTCACATGTTAGGAGTACACTTTCATGCACACTTTGCARTGCATTACATATAGTCTTTTTCCACAACTGAAAAATGGTTTTCTGACTGAAATTTGTAACCCACAAAGAAAAATGTCCAGAATATATTTTGCTGTTTGCAAAAGAATGTGTAAAAATAAGTACATTGTTCATATATCTGCTTATATGCATCTTTCTGGTATTCATTTTCATTCTATGACTACTTAGAACAATGTAGGTCATAACAAGCATATAATGTTCCTGTTTGGATTTCAGCAAATTAAATTACTTATCGTAAATATCACCATTATGACCAACAAAAAAGTAAATTGACAAGTAAGCTTTGGTCTGTGATCATACATTCATATAATTAAAAAATTGCTTAAGCTAAATGCTGCTTATAATTTTTAGAGGACTCACTATAAGATCATTAACTACTGCTGCAGGAAAGGCAAGTATTCTTTGGCCTTCAGCACCTTCTCTTTCATCTAATAGACATGAGACTTGGAAAAAATACAGGTGATTTAACTCCAGATAAAAGTGTTTTTCACTCTCAAACAACAAGGAATATATTTTCATTCACAAACATGTCTTATTTTTCTCCTGCAAATTCTAAAGCTCTAAAAAACTCAATGCAAATAACATGCTTAAATTTTCTTCCAAGGAAGACGACTGTGAAAATCAACAGTATTAATTCTGCTTTATATTTTAAAATCTAGTTGTTATGCAACAAAATTCTAAAACTGAAAATAACCGAAGTTGTGCTCCATGGACAAACACAGGTTGCAGACAGTTCAACAAGACAGATTATCATCAGTTTGCAAGAAAACTCTATTCTAAATATTACTGAAAACTTCATATGGAATACCTTGAAATTTATAATCCAGCCCGCTTTTAGTAGAGTCATAGTCATCCACAATCCTGCGGTTCTTGGTGGAGTCTACATCATCGGCCAGTTTCTGTTCATACAAAGAGCTTCTAATTGACTCCCTCTCCTTTTCATTCCTCTCTCTTTCTGCTACTGACTTTAGGAGATTCAAGTCATCAACAAAGGAATAATTTCTGAACTCCGGCCTGCTTTCTGAAAAAAATATTTATACATATATATAAATATTTATATATGTTGACAAAATCTTTGAGCTCTTTGAATGCCATTATGAAAACAAGTATAAAACTAGAGAAAGTGTTTTACCTGTGGGAATTATTTTCTTATTCTTGTCTGCCTCAGCTTCAGCAATCTGATACATACAAACAAAAACAAGGACAAAACAGTAAGTACACTAAAATTTGCAATCTCTTATCAATACTAGTAGAAGCCTCAATGACCAGTCTGCACTCTCAGTAAGAAGTCTGTCTCAACATGAACATGCTCAAACTCATACCACTTTCCTTTCCTCATTACCACTGCCTCCTCTGATCAGAATCAAATGTTACAAGCAGCTGTAAGAAGAAGAATGAAGACTTCCATTGCTAAGTGCCATTTAAGTTTTTCTTCAACCCAAGCTCTCACTGTATTCCCCCATGATTTGAATACAAAGGAGTTACACACCTATGATCTGATGGAGCTCATGACCTGCCTTKGGGATGATAAAGAATAAAAACCTATACATATCTTAATTACTRAAACTCAGTTTTCACAGAGCTCATCCGTATTTACTCATAAATCTCCTTACAACTCTTATTAAGCCATTAGGACATTCATGATTCTAGTATCTGAAAGATCAAACTGTTATGTTGGTACAAAGATCAGAGTGCATTTTGATTCTTTTTCATTTTGCTTACCTGTTCCTCCAGAGGTCTTTCTACACTTAGTTGTCTGTTGTGTATAGTTTTATCTAGAATAAATACACAAATACACAAATATATTCAACCATATGATGCATATGCCTACAATGTAGCATTTTTTTCTTAAATTACATTTTCTTTATAAAATATCGTATGTTGAATACACTACAAATAASTTCTTAGAAAAAAGTGTTCCTAGAAGGTAGTAAAATAAAAAGGCAGCGAAAGATATCCCAGAAATACAAATACACAGAAAGTAACCCCTTTCTGATAAGAAAACTCATATACAAACCAGGAGGGGTGTGGGGGGTAAAACAGTAAGAGATTGACTAAAATAGAAATAGCATAATCGGATTGACATAACCAAGAGATTAAAAATCTGTTACATTCAGAGAGAGAGGGGGAGAGAGAGCGAGAGACAGACAGACAGAGASAGAGACCTGAAAAGTGGTACCAAATATATGAAAACATGGCTTGGAAAAGGAATGTAAAAATTCAGAGACTTTTATTCTACCAGCCCCTACTTCTTCCCTTGACTATCAGATTGTTTTTTCAATGGTTCAGTTTCTCAAGATGAATGCTCTTTCTTGAGGATCTAATTACTTTCAGCCAAGTAAAGCAAAAGTTTTCCCTCTCTTGTATCGATGCCCCTGAAAACTTTGCCCAACGTGAGGCAAGGAGCTCCGCGAGGTGCCTACCGTCGCCCGCGGGCCTGGGGAAGCCCTGCAGCTGGCTGGCCATGAGCGCCAGCGCCTGCAGCACGAGCGGCAGCCTGAGCAGCATCCTGCGGCCGCCCAGCCCCGGCGAGGGGGAGGAGACGGGGGAGGGCCCCGGCGCGGAGCATGCGCGCCCCGCGCTGCGCCCTTCCCTGGAGCGGGGCCGGGCCCGCGGCTCCCCGCGGAGAAACGGCGGCGCAGGAGGCGAGAAACCCGCGGGAGGGCCCCGCGCCGACGGCCCGGCGCCCCTTCACGCCGTACTCAAACCCTCTGTGCAGGCGGGCGGGGGGGATGTTACACCACAAGGRCACAGGCATCAATGATGCTCTGATTATAGAATGGACATCGTGAGTTCAGTACATCGTGCTCTGCTATGTTCAGAATTAAAAAAAACTAGGACAAATAAATAATAAAAAATCATATGTTAATCATAATAAGCATTTTTATAAATTTAAATTTAGCCCTCGTACATACAGGCCAGCCACAAATCCCTAAAGATCCAAGGAAGACACATTCACTCTGCTTTGTAGTAGGAACAAAGGGTCCTACCTTTGTGGTGTTCACATTGCGATCCTATAGGATGGGCTTCCAAACCACTCCGACACAATAYTGATAGGAGCTGATGCCTTCATTTGTCTCAGATACACTGCTGTAAACTAACCCAAAGAGATACAACAATAGGAATTGCTAAAATACTGACACTACTGAGCTGGAAGAATAAAAATATTTTTTAATACTGCTTCATTTCCTAACCCAGATTTAACTCATAGGTTTATATTAATTGAACAATTCTTTTCCCATCTAATACGCTCAGTATTTCAAAAAGTATCTATTTGATCTCCATTACTCCATCTGATATTTTATTTCTATCCCATTTCTAAGATTTCCATTTACATGACTATACACATTTAGTCATTCAGACAAAAGTCATCACATAATACAGAAGTAGTAAATGAACCTAAACAAACAGAAATATGGCTAACTAAGGCTTTTTTTTCTGGAGAAAACAATAAGAGCAAAACACCTAACTGGTGACAATGCTGCAATGAAGTCACTGGTTGAAATATACCTATTGAAATGATATGTCTATATAGTCTTTTTGTCTATTGCATTATATCTATTTGCATCTATCTGTTTTACACAATACATTTCCACTTATGTGATAAACTTGTTTCTACTTATGTGAAATAGTTTCTATATTATTTCCTAAGGATTGTTTCCTTAGAGCTAAATCGCTCCCTCTTTGCCAGGCCTGTCTAACACAAAACGATGAAAAAAGACTGCAGGAACTCAGTGGGGAGAAAAAGGAATCCCAACCTCTACCTTCATCTGAAGCAAAGTACCCATTACAATCATTGAAACCATAAGCAAAAAATTGTGCRTGTAAAAAAATGCAGGGAAGGGCAAATCTAAATTTTCAGACACAAACCGTTTATAAGCTCCACTAGGAAGAGGCAACATACTCATGAGCACATGGTGTTGAAGGCAGGGACAGAGCACACCTGCAGTGCTGTGGTCTGGTTTTGAGCAATTTCAACCAGAATTCCATACTAGTGTGCTCACAAGCTCATTTAACATGTGGCAGATCAGATAATCATCATTAAATATGTTTAATCATCATAGAAAAATCACTATGTAAAAGTGCTGCTTTTATTTCTTGCTAGATCTCTGTTTTGATTTGGCATCATTTGCTTGTACTATTACACACTCCTCTTTGCAGTGCAGAATCAACATTGTGAAGAGCATAAGCTCTTCTATTTTGGATTCTGTTTTGGCTCCTGCACAATCAACCCATTTTCTATTCTAGAACTATTTACTTCCAATAATGATTCATGAGCCAGAAAGAATACCACTTGCCTATCACATGTCAAGATGAATTTACAAGAATAGCAATTAGAGTGCTTTTTTATTGTAGGGAGTGTAGCTGATACAGAGCCTAGAGAAATAATTGAAATGCAGCCTTTCAGTGCTATTTTTACATTCGTTTTATAATCACACTTCAAGGCTTTTCATGTAATTAGAAAAGTAGGCAAAAATGCAGATTACCAAGTTTATGCCTAGATGTTAGAATTTCCTTTTGTGAATTTAATTTTTCTGCTTATACTGTCATTACGCTAAGTAATAYACTACATATTCTATTATTTGAAAAAAATATATATGTAAAGTGTTACTGGAGCTTTTTATCCAAGGTGTCAAAAATGAATATAAAGATCTGGCAGTAAGCCAGGTATCTTATGTTTTCATTATGCAATTATGAATTACATGACTCTTGGTTCCAGTGCAATCATCTACAGCATCATACACAGGCCAGAGAGTTCATATTCAACATGTCATTTAACGTATACCATATATTTCCATTCTACCTACAGTGAAAAGGAAAACTCAAGGCTCTGGAAACAATACCTAAACAAACACGAAGCCATTTATGAAACCATTAGTGTCATAGCACTTCTTCAAGTCTCATCAGCTTTACTAACAGTTTTTGCCATGCCCTACGAGGGCATGAGGGCTCAGTTTTGCTAAGCTTACGCTTTTTGTCTACAAATCTTGGAAGCACTGCCAGCTTGTCCATCATGTGATACTTATACGTGGGAGACTCTTCTGTGAACTCTTAATCGAGCTATTCTTAACCAAAGTATTTTTGAAAATGAACTTTACAAAATATCCATGTACATATTTCAATTTAATGTAACAGAAATGTCAACTTCTATACTTTTATAAAGTGCAAGTCTAAACTTGTTCCTACATAGCATTTCTGTTTTTCTTTTTTCCCCTCATTTTAAACAAGAGTCAGTCATTTTAAACAAGAGTTCATCTTAAAGCATTATTTTGGCAGTTTTTTTTTGGTGAAGGGATATTTTTTCATTACAAACATATCAGTCAAAGGGGATTTTGTGTTTTCCCCGCATTCCTCCTAGAAAAAAAAAAGAAAAAAAAAACAAAAAAAGCTTTGTATTGATACCTCTACACAGTATGTCTGCTATTATTAGCAAGACTACTGACTCACAGATTTCAGCATCACACATTTTCCTTGTTTGCAGAACAATGAAAGAAAAACAGCTGTGCTAAAAAAAGGATTATCTGAACATACGTTGCTGCAATTGGTTGAAGACTTCCTTACATGGTTTTGGAAAGACTTAATAAGCTCATGTAAAGACCACCATCAGATGCCCTTTTTCCCTTGTATCATGATAGAAACGCGGAAGTCACTTGGGCCCCTTTTGTGCTTGTATAAGTGTCCCTGGTTTGGGGAATAGATGGTCCTGTCCCAGCCATGCAGTGCTCACCATGGTAAGACATTGTATGAAGCTGTTTCAGGGCAGCCTGAGAAAAAGCCTATTCTTAGCAGGCAAAATGCAAGAATTCTTGTCACTTGAAATCAYTTCTATGGAAATTAAATGACCAAAAAAGAACAAGGCTTTTATCCTCTATCCACTTGACACCTGCAACTGTTCCTGTTCAGTTCTGGCCACAGGAAGCTAACCTCATTTCAAAAGCTCACCTCAACTTGAACRGCACGATAGCACAAAATGGCAGAAACAATCACTAAAAAAGCCAGRCATCTCTCTGATTTTTACCCTTGGCAATTCAAGGGTTATTTTTCACGTGGAGAAGTGCTGTTCTGCGTTCCCTGCGAACAGCTTGCTCCTCCTGGGAGTGCACAGAGCGCCGAGGCAGCGCCGCTGCGCAGAGCCTTACCCCAGCGCGGAGCGCCAGCCCCGCGGGACCGGGCCGGCCGCTGCCGCAGCCCGCGGCCTCCAGCTCCACCTTCCGGCGCTGCGGCCGCCGCGACATCGGGTGAGGCATGAAAAGAGCACTGCCAGCACTCCACCCGCGACACCGCGGCCGCTTTAACCCCTTCCACGTGCCCCGCCCCGGCGCCTGCGCGCGCCCGGCGGCCGTTAACGGCCGTTGGCGGCGCCCCCTGCTGCCGCCCTACCGGCGGGGAGGGGCGGCGCCCGGAAGTGCGTGCTAGGGCGGCGCCCGGAAGTGCGTGGTGAGGCCGGCGCAGGTGGCGGCCCGGGCGGGCGGCCTGGCTCTTTCGGGGCAGCCGCCGCCATGAGCGACGTGGTGGAGCGCACGCTGAGCGCCCTGCCGGGCCTGCTCGGGCAGC